TTCTGTTTACTTTGCAAAAATGGTTGATTTTACGATATAAATACATAATACATGTGCTGCTTAATATTTTTGTAAACCATGATAGACTTTAATGAATAGAAAGTTAAGAAAAAACAGCATTTATTTGAAATAGAGATCTTTTGTAACGTCTTTACTGTCTCACTTTTGATCAATTTAATGCATCCTTGCTGAATAAAATTTAAATTCTAAAATAAAAAGTTTATTTCTTTAAAAAAAATACAGGTAGCATTAGTGTTGTTTTCTCTCTTGACTGAATGACTTCTGTGTGCGTTATTCTCATGTAAATCACTGGATAAACGTATATGATAATAAATGAATAAATGGAAACATTAATGTGTAGTTTACTACAAGAAGACTGTGAGACCGTAAGATATACATTCTGTATAGTCGTTCAGAAGGATGCAGACAGCTGCATACACCATTTTACAGTACAGAATCAGTTAATATTCCCATTTCAATACAAGTTTCAATACAAGTTTATACAAATGTTTAAAAAAAAGTGTTATATTCAAGAGACTTTCCCACATGGAGGGTAAAAGGGGGTTTTAACTGTGTCCAGTGGTGCATCAACTGGCAATGAAATCCAAAATGATGATCATACTTTTTAACACGTTTGCACTGTTTATGCATTATAATTTACCACAAAGCAAACAAATATGGATAAATATCCTTGTTAACCTTGAAACAACAATTAGAATTCAGGGTTCAGTTAAGGGTTAGGTATCCAAATAGGTACAACACTGTCAGTACTAATATACTTAGGTACTAATATGAACTTTTACAGTATTAGTATGTACATTTAAGATACTAATATGTACCATTTAGGGCTAAATAAGATACAAAGATGCAAAAATAAGGTACAGCCCAGTGAAAGCTTTGTACCTTTCTTGTAATTTTTTCCTGACTGTTTTTCAGTCAATGTCACCTTTGTTACATCTATTGTATGTGGACTGTTGTTGCTTGAGTGAAATGGATGACATAAAAAAGCATCACCAGGTTTTACATATCTTCGTCATTTGACTGCTTGGCACATTTGTAAATAATAATAATAATAGCTCGCTAATCTTGTGAGAGAACACCAGTTATGGCCTTCGTCATAAGCTACTTTTGGCTAGCTGAGACGTGTTTGGCTAGCTGTCTCGGGGAAGGAACATGTTTCTCTGGCAAGAGTATGGTTTGTACACAGAGTAATCCATGCGAAAACATAAGACTACCAATTCTAAGCTAGGTTTTATTAGGCTATATTTCTCTTCTACCATTTCAGTCTCTCAGTTCATACCCAATTGCGTTACATACGTTAGGGGCTCCATTCACGTGGACGAAGCGGAGTCCAGCCCGGAGTCGTCACATGTGGTTGCCGCAAGCCTCCTTCGTTGAAATCGCCGGCCACGCCGTTCTCTAGCCCACCTGCCGCCACTCACTCTAACCCTCCCGCCGTTCCTCACGCTAGCCGCCGGCCTCTGCTCACTGTAGGCCGCGGTGTGTGACGCCGTTTCGTTGTGAACTACTTTGTTTGGCCTTCCAAAAATGGACACGACTAGAAATCAGTGGTTAAGTTGTATTTACAACACTGTTCCAGAACACTTCAACCCAAGTATTCAGATGTGTGCAGCACATTTTATGGAGGACTGTTTCCTGATCCTGGGAGAGTAGACTACAATGCCGGCTGTTCTGACTCAAAGACTGTAAGTACGTCTTTTATATTTAAAGAGTTTTTATATTTTATATATTTAAAGCGAGTTTTTTGGGCAGTGTAGAGTAGGGCTTGTTGTTTGTCATTTCTCCGATCACAAATGCAGACATGGTTTTATGTTTACGCGGCGTAATAATAATAAAATAATGTGTTTTTTTAACCTTAAACCGCATAAACACATTTCATTACACCAAATACTGTTCTTTTTAGCAGCATCATATGACCCCTTTAAGTCAAGGTATCTCAACTGACTACATCAATGTCAAGTTTGACTATGATCAGCTCTGACATAACAGTTCCAAAGCAAGGCTGTGTGAGAAAGATCACAAAAGTGACAGTAAAGGCTTCTACATTGTTACGAAAAATGTTCTAATATAAATATATACTGTTCTTTTCAGCCTTGGAACTCATTGATTCTATGTTTAAAAGAGATTGTGAATTTAAAAAATTGGCGTATTTTTTACTCATAACGGCACTTTAAATAATAAACATGTAGTTTGGGATTTTTTTTTATTTAATTGGTAAAAAAGATATAATAAACCATAAACTAAAAACAACTGAAGATAACTACCACCAATGTCCTTTTAATTTTAAAAATGTAATTTAAAAAAAAAAAACATTTTTTCAGTAGTACTAACCTCCACAGGGCTTTGAACCACCTGGTTGGAGCTCATGGTTCTTCGGTTTTAAAAACAACTCGAATATCAGCCCATCACATCCAGCAGTGCACCATGGGTGAGCGTAACTTCAGCCTCTGGCAGTGCTCTACAAACAGACTGAGGGAAAACTGTCTGAAAGGCACAGTAAGTTACAATAATGCAAAACAGCTTAGGGATGTTACATAAACTGATTTACCTGGTACAATCACTGTAAACGTGTTTGTCACATTTACTTTGAAGAGTTAGTTCACACAAAAAAATTGTGTTGTTGTTGTTCCAAACCTGTATGGGGTTCTTTCTTCTATTGAACACCAAACTAGATATTTTGAAGAACGTTGGTAACCAAACAGCTGACGGTAGCCATTAACTTCCATAGTATGGAGAAGAAGAAAAAACACTCAATAGTCAATGGCTATTGTCAACAGTTCGGTTGCCAACATTTTTCAGAATATCTTCTTTTGTGTTCAACTGAGGAAAGAAACTCATACAGCTTGTGCGAGTAAATGACAGAATTTTCATTTTTGGGTCAACTATCCCTTTAAAGACTTAAGTTTCATACATTTTGTCTCTGCATTATACAGTATCATGCTCTATTGTTATTCCAGCATACTATCAAGAGTCTCACTTGATAATCTAATAATAAATGACAGTGCACATTCTTTGTTGTTTAGTAAAGTTTTTAGATTTGGATATTCAAATATCTGTATGTTTGTTCGACAATTAAGTTTACATTTTACAGAGGAAATATTACTGTACACACATGAAGAACTTTACAATGCCATTGCTTTGTAATATACTGTGTATATAACAACCTGCAGTTCACGTAGTGCAACCAAATTCAAAAGACACTTCATCGTCAGGCAAAGGAATAGAGACCAGACACTTTAAAGGCTGTTGCATCCCTATCAGAGAGAGAGTCGTTTCACCATACATAGCACAGTCCATGTGAATATTTTTGCATTTACAGCATTATGCCAACACATTCCTCATCCACAACACCAACCAGAGCACTTGAACATCTTTCAAAGGGAACAGCAGTCAGTTAATTTAAATACAAAACTCTGCTATTGGACTCAGCCTAAGCCCTTGTGCATTAGGACAGTACATTTATAACTTAACATTAACAGCAATGCATACAAAAAAGTTACATGAGCTTAAAGCCAGCTTTCCACATCTACAAAGGACTCTATACATCAGAAGATACTTCCATGCCTTGATTTATGGAGAGCCGGGGGAGGCTGGGCAGACAATGTTTACCTCTATAATTTTGCATATACGGCATACAAAGGGAAAGAGGGTTTGCATACAATAAATATTCTGGAATAACTACAGCCGATTACTGCTTTTTAAAGACCTGAAACCAAGGGTGAATCTCATGAAGAAATGTCCAGGACATAATTCACCCCAAAATCAAAGGAAAGCAAAGTAAGAAATTATATTTTGCATTAACAAAATGAAGCCTGATCCAATGATTAATAATAATAATTTTAGTTCAAATAACATCCATGAATAAATACTACCATGATGTTTTCTTGATGGTCAATTTAAATCTTATCAGACTTAAAAGTAGGCTTCAGTTCCTTTTTGCAAAACGTATTTTCTCCTTAAATTTTGGGGGGAAAAAACAACCCAAAAATATCTTAACAGATTAACCCTAACTTTCTTTATAACAAAACAAAGGAAAAAGAACAAACAACACAACAATATCAACAGCAGACTATGACCTCTGTGACATGGAATCATTTGAATCATCCAGTGACATCATGCAAAGGGAAAATTTTTTGTCTACTGGAAAAACATTTCGTGAGATTCCATTGAGCCCACTGACCTTTCAGGGAAGCCACTGCAACACTTTCCCTTTAAGAAAAAAGTCCCTACAAGAGCTGGTTTGATAGCTAGTCATCTTTCCTGTATGGCTTAATTCCAGTAGTATACACCACAAAGAGGGGCAAAGAGTTAGCGGGAGATGACAGGGAGAGCGGTTTGTCATGTGATGACTGATTACTTCCAAAATGGAGTAAAATTCCTTTTAGTGGTTAGTCTGTCCTTCCTTCATCAATTAAAAAAAGTCCAAGACAAGGAATTGATCTTAAGGAATAGATGAGTTTGACATGAAGACAGCGTTAGGGGTGAAAAGACTAATGAGTATAATATCATGAGCAAAAAGAAATGTCACAATGACATTAGGCCGATTCTGGAAAGGGCTCTGTAGTGTATGTAAAGAGAAAGCAGGAAAGGAGAGGTGTATCTCTGCAGGGACATCTCTTATCTGACATACTGCTGGCTCTGACACACTGAAGTCGATCAACAGTGCTGGGTTTCCTCTTAAAGCTTGATCCTCAAGTCCAGCAGAAGTTTAGCACGCTATGGCCTTGAAAGCATTTGCCATACAAACAGGCAAAAGCCTCCTTTGTGTCTTGAGTTGTATGGCTTGCAGTGCATTAGTATTGCTTTCCTGTTCCCTTCCTGGGGGAGTGAGACACGGGAGACCTGAGAGACAACGCTGAACTGTTTCTGCAGATCTGTACATCCACCACTGTATCTTCTGTAACTTTAAGAGGAGGTTTAGGAGTGCTTAGAAGCCAATAAAGACTAAGCCCGATTTAGTTATTCTGGATGAACAAATT